GTGTATCTAGGCTGAGAGAATATCCCTCCATAAGGAATGGGTTCCCAAAGTCCATTTGTGCACTAGGGATAAATACTGGTTCCACTGCCAGCTGCCTCATAGACAGCCCAGACCTCCGAACTGACACCCACATTCAGGGGATCTGGTTCAGTCCTATGCTGGTTCCCCAGCTGTCAGACTGGGGTCTGTGAGCTCCCTCTTGCTCAGGTCATATTGCTATTCTTTTCTAGGTTAATTCTTGTACTTTAATTTCTCTGGGTGACTTTACTCCTAGTACTATAGCAAACCAACTTGGCACATGGGTTTTTGGGGTTTTTTTGTGCTACTACTATATGTTAATTGTACATAATAATGGGTTTTGTTATGACATCTTTATGCACAAGTATAATGCATTTTGACCATATTCATACACGCAGCCTAACATGGGAAATTATAAGGTTCAAAGCCAGTGTGCAGTCTCCACATATGAGAGCATGAAACAGAAGTATTGCAAGTTTGAGGACAGCCAGCATTACTCAGAGACCCCAGTGTTCACACGTCTGGACGTCTTACACCTGGCATGCTAGGAATTGTTCCTGTGCTGTCAGTAGATGGTGCTATATTCCTTCTGGTGACATCGTGTCTAGAGACATGGATCTTGGTGGCCACTGGATAAAAAGCAGGCATCCTAAAGAGTCTGTTGCAGGAGATGAAGGAGCCATCCCCTCCCTAATCCTGTCAGCTCTTCCTCCTGACTGCCGCTGTCTCTGTGGAGAAGTTGGGATGCTACTTGTGTTGTGACCATCGGTAACCACAGCATTATGGGGGTGTCTGACCCAAGGAGAGCTGACTGTGGTGCAACCTGCTGTTTCTGTGGCTCTTCCTGCTAGGGTGCTAGATTCTCCCTTTTCCTGTTAAGACTCTAGGATGGAGTGGTCCCACACTGTTCTATTGTTGAACTGTGCTGTGGCAGTCCTGGCCAGAAAACCATGTGCCCCTCTGGTTCCCCTCAAGTGTTTACCTCTTCTGTGCTGCAGGTCTCCACCCTCTCTGACCTCCAGCCACACATGGGCCAGTTCGTGAGGCATCTTCAGGACTCAGATACCAGTGCGCTGAGGAACTCCGTTGTCATTGAGCAGGTCCTTGGGCTCCCCATTAATCGGCCGCACCTGGTGGGGCCTTCCTCCTCTACTTGGCTATTTGCTTCAGTGTAGGAATGTGACCAAGGTATTCCTTGGTGGAGAG